CTGCCAGGAATGCCTTCATCAGTGGCGAAGAAGCAAGCAGATTCAGGAGTTTTAACATCTATGGATAGAATGCCAGCTGTCCAGAGAAAAAAAATGCAGAAGCAACAAGGGTTCTTGGAGAGTCCTGAGAAAATGTATGGTATTCTCGATCACATTAAGGTTTTGATGATGATATAAAAATTCTCTGCATTTCATTTTTACTGCTTGGTGCACTACAGGGTTCACAGACAACATTTTCAAGTGAAGAATGATGCAGACTTTCCCCCTCTCTGACCACCAGGGCACTCACATGTGGAGATTCAAGTAAAAGGGTGGAACTACAGCTAAACAGAAATGCCGATACCTAACCTGACATTGGATCCTTGCTTGCTCAGAAATAACGCTGCCCTGGGAAGGCTTGTAATACAATTTTGTTTTTGTTTTCCTTCTGTCAAACCCCAATAATGGAAGCATTTTTGTTGAGGAGGACTTGGATGGGTTTCTCGTCCTTTCCACCTCTTTTGAAAAACATAAGGTACTCTATATGAACTTTTGTCAGGAAAAAATGGTTTATTTTTCCATCCTCTCTCATCCTCGCTAAAGCTTTCTCCGCTGTTTGGTAATCATTCAGCTAGGAGTTTTTGAAGCTTGTATCTGGGTGCTTTCTGTGATTACGCTTTTTTTTTCCCCCCCCGCCTGTGTTAGCTGCTTTGCTTTGAAGCAAACACCACTTAAAAGTCAAGTGTTTGGCAAGGGACTTTAGGTTCCATTTCTTAATTTTTTTTTAAAAGCAGCGTGAAGCATTTTTTTTTTTTGCTTGTTTGATTTAAAGTAAAAAAATAAAAATATCATTATGAATTTATGGAATGACAAAACCAAAATCGACTACTTGCCCCAGTGTATCGCTTGCATTTGCACATGCAATTTTTATATATAATAAAGAAGGATAATCTAACAATACTTTCTTCATATTTTTCTGCCTGTTTTTATCAATTCTTTACATTTTGATCCCTATAGTTTGCATACTAATGATTTGGTTATGAGAACTCGTTTTTTTTTTTTTTTTTCATGTTTCAGTCCCTAAACTTTCAAAG